TGGCCAATCCGCGGTGCTCCCGGGGCCGGCGCTCACCGTGCTCCATGTGCCTGGGGCCAAGCCAGCCCCAAGCACTTGGCGGGCGCATACAAATGCCCCCGCGGGTGCCATGGCGCCCGCGGGCACCGTGTTGGGGACCACGGGTCTATAAGGTGCTACAGGACTCCTCGCCACTTTTATCTTTTTACAGTCTTGGCTTTCCCATGTTACTTATTCTCTTGTAAGCCACTTCATTGGAGAATGGGAGGTGGGAGTTAATTTTAAGTGCTCTCATAAGATTGTGGCCGTTATATGAGAATGAACTGCCGTGCTTTAATTATTCTGTGTCCATCTGGAACTTAGTGTACATATACCTCATTGAGAGAAAGCAAAAAGATGCTTCATTATTTGAAAACACTGTCTGAATGATGCTAAATATGGGATAGGAATATTAGTTGAATTGCCACAACTTAATATTACAACCTGAATGTCAGGATGTCTTGTACCCAGCTGTATATTTTTTGTAATAGCCAGTACAATTACTATAATTGAGTCTGTCAGCATTTCCATTATAAACCTTTCTGTTGGGGGTTATAACTTGGCAGTTCCAAATTTCATTGGGTACAGTCTTGGCATACAGGCTTGAATCCACAATGCAAATTTTCATTTTAGCAATACTGTTTAGTCTCTTGTTCTTTCTTGGATTCAGATACTCTATGTATAGCTCTAGATACGCTTAATCAGCTAAATTACAACTTTTTAACAAGCAGTTGGCACTTATAGTAGATTTGAATTTTTCTCATTGCAAAATAAAAATTAACCACATTTTAAAGTTTATAAAACATGTGGTCTACGTATAGTACTTTTTTGTGTGCATAGAACCAATATTGTGCCAGATTTCTATCACTTGAATAGGAGTTTCCATACAAAGGCTTGCATAGTAATGATTCCTTGTGTTGCTAACATCTGGTAGTATTTTGCATTGCAATCATGCTACACATTGGCGTGCTATTCCATTTGTTACCTCCAGGCTTGATTTAAAAAAAAAATATATATATATATATATATATATATATATATATGTTTTCTATGTAGGAATAAAACCACATATGAGAAAAAGGTTCTTATTAATACAAGATTAATCTGTATATATGTCTGATTAAAATCGCCTTTAGCATATTACCCCCCATTATTCCATGCAGAGCACTATCTCCCCATTGAATAGACATCAATTCAAGATCTCTGTCCTGTTATTCAGAGGGCTCCAAGAGATAGGCCCTTACTACTGAAGAGATTCCCTCTCCTTCTACAATCACATCCTATAATAGTCATAGTGCAGGAGACAGAATTTACTGCATGTGGACTTTTGAATTTCTCTTCGGCAGGAGCATAGGCGTGTGCAGCACATTTCATTAGGGTGTGCACCCAAAGAATTTTTGTAAAATGTACTTTGACCCCCCATTAGCCACGCCCCTGAACCCTTGGCCCCCATTAGCCACGCCCCTGAACCCTTGGCCCCCATTGGCCACGCCCCTGGAGGTAACCCTCTCTGGGCAAGATGGGCACATGACCAAAAGTAAAAAGTGTTATGTGACCCCCGACCTCCCACCCCCAAGGACTTTTCCCACCATCCTCTTACCAATAGGGATTAGTTTGGCCCCCACCAACCCCCCCATGCAAATATCCTGCAATTGCATTCATTCAATGTGTGTGGCATTAATGCGGCGGTAGAGAGGCTGGGGGAGGGAGGAGAGAGAGTGTTCCCTCTAAGAGTTTCCTCCCATGAGCAGAATAAATTTTGTGTTGTGCACCAGTACTGAATTCATGTGGCTTGTTTGGATGTGCCATTGTGGCACCCAAGTTATTAATAAATATCTACCTTTCCCCTCTGCTGCACCACCAAAATATCAATCTACATAAAATCATTTAAAATACGACCCAGAGAAATATGATGTTAATTAACAATCCTCTCTTTGTATGCAAAATTCTATCTGGAGCTCAGAGGAAAATGGGAATAGCTGATTAGAGCTGCCAAGGAACCTACATTCAAAGGGGCTCTCCATCAGCCTCTGTTTGATTCTATAATACTCAGCAACTGGGTTGATGTTGTACAGGTCCCGGAGAGGCCGCATTAGCTTTTCCTCAATGAGGTAGTTAGTGATATTTGCCAGGCCCACAAAGTGGTCTCCTTTAGGCAGCACTGGCAGTTTCACTGCCATTGAACAGTTCCTGTGGGATACAAATGATTAACTTGTGGTGTTACTGGTGTTAAATTGATTAACACATGACTTGCTCCAACCCCCCTTTCCTCATGCCTCCCCCTTCTGTCAAGCCTTCTCCCAGCACCTCCCTCTCCAATCCACAATGCCCTTACCCTCTCCTATTCCAGCATCACCGTGTCCCCCCTCCCCTCCTGCCCTTTTCCTCATTGTCTCCACTTCGCCCCCTAGCATTTGTGTCTCCTCTACCCTGTCCCTTTGGTGCCTTCCCTTTTCTTCCCCCTCCCCCTCCGTACAAGCCCCTTCCACCCCTTCTCCTTTCTTCCTTTTCCACCCTCCCCCACCGCAAAAGCCCCTTCCTCTTCCACCCCTTCCTCTTATTCCCCCCCGCCCTTACCTTCAGCTTCTGCCTTACAGCTTGCAGGGCTGGTGTCAGAGCCAGCTCAAGCTGCAGGGCTAGGGAGGGGCACCCCCCGGGGCACCGCACGGTGCTGTAGGGTGGGGCTGGGATGCCCTCAGGGTGCCGTGTGGTGTTGTAGGGCAGGGCCTGGGCAGCAAAAATGGCTCGGGCCGCCGTCTGTAGTCGGGCCCCAGCTGCTCTTGGAGTTGGGAGCTGGGTTTTAAAGTTCCCGGCGTTTCCCCTCTCACCTGTTGCACGGCATTTGAGGAGGCCGTTGCATGCGCTCTCTCTGCCCCACAGTGCCCAGTAGATGGCTGCGGGAAATTTAAAGTGAGGGTCTTCGGCGCTCCATCACAAATCCTCTTCCTCCAGCAGCTGCTAGCCGGCCCCAGACATTAGGGTGTGCCTGGGCACACCTGGCACACCCCGTGCACATGCCTATGTGCAGGAGATTGTTACTTACATTTTTTAATATTTGGTGGAGACTCAGACAATAGAATTAAAGGAGAATTATAAATACTGAGGTAGAAATGCTCAAAGTTGAAGGAAGGGGTAGAAAACAAGTTAATTGAATGGACTGAAGTGGATAATTCAAGATTGAAAGGATTTCTGATCTACACAAAGTATAGTAAATTTGTTGGCTTTTTTGGTTGGGCGGGGGATTCTTCATATCAAATGTAGTTGACTGGAACTTGGGCTGTTGGAAGGTAAGAGCAGAACACTAACTAAATAGATTCTACATTTGAGACATTTTCATGTCATTGTCGTCATGAAATATAGCCATGATGATGTTTAAAGTCATTGTACAAGCCTCCAATAGCACTTCAACATCAGTTTAATTCAGGGATGCTTTACTTTTCCTTTAAGGTAGGGGGTATATAGCTAGACAGATTTTACTTCTGTCTTACACGCTCATAATTTTTTATCTGACTTTTTATCACACTTTAAACACACTTTGGTGCAGCAGTCTTCCTGTTTCGATATCAGATCATATTATGATCACTGGTGAGATCACTGCTTCACAGTTTATTTAATATTCATCGAGGTTTAACCAAACGTTTATTTAAAATAGGATTATTTTATTGATTATATTCAGATTTATTTTTGCTAGTGGAACTATACATTTTATCTTTTGATAAAAAGAAAGTTTTGTCATAATACAGGCAGTCCCCGGGTTACATGGATCCGACTTACATCGGATCCCTACTTACAAACAGGGTGAGGCAACCCCGCACTAGCTGCTTCCCCCCAGCAGACCAGGGAGACGCGAAGCTAGTGTCCCCCCCGCCCAGCAGACCAGGGAGAGGTGGAGCGGCTTTTCTCAGCAGACACCTCAGCTTGAGAATAAAGCCTGAGGGAAGTGAGGTGTGGGAGAATAAAACTGAGCTCTGGAGAAATGTTTGGCTAGAGTTTCCCCTACAATATGTACCAGTTCCGACTTACATACAAATTCAACTTAAGAACAAACCTACAGTCCCTATCTTGTACGTAACCCGGGGACTGCCTGTAATTGTTTGTTAGAATGAGATTATGGATCTTGATGTCCAAATTTTGACATTACAAATATAACGCTATTAAACTTCTATGGCAGGTTCAATTTCTCTCATTACATAAAATGTTGCAAATGTATGCTTTAGTTTTTCAAAATCCATGTTTTTATTCACATATTAGCAGAGCAGGGAGGATGATGGCACACCTAATCAACTCTTCAAATTTCCCAAAGGGACTACAAGATCTCTTCCTGTGACAGCAATCCACTCTCTCCATAATTTAATCCATTTAAAAAAAATGATGTCCAATTACTTTTTCTTTCTGTTGAACAGACTGAAGCTTTGAGCCTCTTTCAGAATGAAGGGTGACTTTGTTAGTGCAAACATAAACTAAAGCTGTAAATTCAGATGATTTTGGAGATGAGCATTATGAATGACTTCAGACTATGCGGATTGAGCACTTGTAGAAATTTCTCCTTTTTTACAAAAGGGAGGGGCTTCCCATGTTCTGTTAATTACTTCAGTTTCTCTTATTCTTAAAAAAAGACTTAAGATCACGAGACAGAAAGTTGTTTTACACAAATACCTTGGATTTAAAATGTTCTGCAAAAACTTTGGCTTGTAGGCTAGAGGAAATTCCTCCATACTTATTGATCAGACAAGTTTTATTAAAATTGGAATTCAGTTTGAAATTTATAGTGTAATGGATGCAGTTTGAACCACAGAGGAAATCAATATTAAAATAATATTTTCCTCAACGCAGATTACACATTTGATAGGACCAGCCTTTTGAGATTTAACTTTGTCCAAGTGATTATGTTAATGGTTTATCTGCCTCAAATGTTAGACCTGTGTATTTTACTAAATTTGTTACGATGTTTAAATTTTAAAAAAATCTGTTTTATTTTTCAGTAATCTCTACCAATCCAGATGTTCTGGTAACATTAGGAAAGGAGGAGGTAAGTGTCTTAGTTCATTAGTTGGAAGTAACTTCATACAAGTATATTTTTTAGAATTTTCTTTTCATATAATTGGCTAGCCATAATAAAGTATGTGTATTTGAGAACTTAATTTTTTAATTTGCTTTTCCTGATTTGTCATAAATACTGAATATTTTTAAGTGTAGTCAAAATGATACATTTTTACCAGAATTTATATGCTTAAGATAAGATTTTAAAAATTAAAATGCGGTGCAGAAGAGGCAGTACTCTTATTTCTAGAGTTCTGTAGGAATAATATATGCAAATATCTATTTGAGCGCTTCCAGACTGGGGGAAAAGGACATATGAAGAATGTGTTAGTGGTAGCATTTAAATATATTGGTTGGACGTTGGTATGTAACATTAGCTGGGAATATTCTTGTGGCTATAACCTTGAAATGAATAGTTATGCTTTGGCTAATACATAAAGACACATTTAGATTATATGAGTTTTGTTAAAAATAACTTATGCTGCACCAAACTTTTTGGTTTGGTTACCTTCCAGCAACTTTCCTCTGCGTTGTATCAGTCAGGTCAGGGAACCAAATTACCTATATAAATGCTCTTTTAACAAAAAGATTGGCTATGTATTTTCCTTTTAGTGAATATCTTCTCCACTATATGTTTGGATTGACATTCCATTTTGTGGTTAGTTTAGATGAAGGATACAATATTTCTCATAAATCCTGTGTATATGAAACCCTTCTCCTAAGAAATATTTTTAGTATTTCATTTGTATTTGTTGTTGAGATAAACTTAAATTTTATTTTATAATTACATAATAAAGGGACTGATGGGGAAGGTCATGAGGCCATGGGGCCAGGACTAGATGCCTTTAAAAGAGAGGCAGGTGCAGTCAGCTCAGGGGAAGCAGCAGGATTGCTAAACAGAAGACTTCTGGGATCACTCCTGGAGTCACTAGAGGAACTCTCATCTAGGAGATCTTTACCCTAACCCCACAGGGGTTGAAGGCCTGCAAAGGGTAAGGACTTCTGTAAGGAGGGAGGGCAAAACACAGCTCAGAGACCAGATCTGGCCTGCCATGCTGCCAGATCTGGCTTGCAGGAGCCTCTGCCACACTCCTTGCCTTCCTCGCCCCTGCACATGCTTAGGGCAACTCTCTAAATGCTGCGAGCCCTGGAGGGAGGGAGAGGCTTTGTGCACGGTGCCTGCCTTCAGCAAAATCTTGCTATTCCCTTTGGCTGGTTTCAGGCAAATGGGAGCTGCCTGTTTGCAGGATAGGCAGCTTGTGAAGTACCCAACCCTCCTTCAGGCTCACAGTGTATAGAGCCACACATGACCCTTTCAGCTAGTGCAGGTGCATGGAAGGCAGCCCCTACCTCCCCATAACCCTCTGTCCCCTTTCTGCACCCCTACCACATATAACCCAAAACATCTGCACCCCAGTATGTCTCTCCTCCAGGTACAAATCCCCCTCAGACCTTGCATCCCAGTCACCTACCCCTGATCACAGCCCAAATCCCTGCACTCTCTCCTTCACCACTGTGTCCAGATCATGTGCCCCCTCCTACATCCCACTCTCCCACCCCAACTCACAACCCCCTCCTTCACGCATTCCTTCCCATATATCCCCTTCTCCGTCTCAAACTCTTCCCCAAGTCATCTTCTGTACCTAACCGCATCCCAGATGCCACTCCTCCTCCAGTAATACCATGGAAGAGTGCATCCCTTCACCACTCAGTAAATTCTTGGAATGCCCCTCCCATAAAAAATGATTTCCCACCTCTGAACTAGGGCCTGTGCCAGAACATCCCAGTTCAAGTAACTGGGTGTGATCAGGTTCTTCCACCATCTGGGAGACAAACCTCAAAGAACTCCTGTACAGGGACAAAAGGCATCATATATAGTAGCCCAATGTCTGTGACTATGTAACACAGTAGCGTTACGAGTTGCCTCTGGGGGGGCGCTGGAGTTCTGCGGTGCTGGAGTTCTGTTGCCTCTGGAGTTCTGCGCCGCTCAGCTGGGCTGCCGTGGGGGAGCAAGTGGCACAAGCGGCCATTTGGGCCCCGCACTCCCCATGTAGCCCAGGGACCGCAGGGGTCAAACGGCCACTTGCGCTGCTTGCTTCCCCATGGCAGCCCGGCTGAGCAGCGCAGAATTCAGCCTAGCACCACAGCGGAAGGGGAACAGATGGGGCGTGCGGGGCCCAAACAGCCGGTTACACCACTTGCTCCCCCACGGCGGCCCAGCTGAGCAGCACAGAGGTCAGCCGAGCGCCACGGCGGGAGGCGAAGGACATAACTCAGGCAACAGCACCGCCTAGAGGAAACAGCCAGCATTTCAGTGTTAGTCACAGACATTGGGCTGAGTGCCAGGGCAGGCGGTGACATGAGGTGTGACAGCGGCTCCAGGCCATTTGGGCTCCGCGGTCCACCCGAGTGAGAGGCAGGGAGGGGAGGAGAAGAGAGAGAGAGAGACAGAGAGGGAGGCAGAAGGCGGAGGAGAGCTGAGAGAGAGGGGGGGAGCCAGTAGGAGAAGGGGGGGAGAGAGAGAGACACTGGAGGCTCAGGAGAGAAGATGGAAGTGGAGAGACCTGAAAATCCCATCTTATGACGGGCTAATTGGCTAGTCTAAATATAGCATGTCGTGTAAAGCTCCAAGCCTACTAAGGGAGCCACATCAGTCTCAAAAAGGGACAGAGCACATCTTAATGTTAGTCTTCAGCGAACCAGGTTTCTACTAAGGACCTAAGCCAATAAGGTGTTGGGTATTGTCCACTCCTATGTGGAGTGGAAGGCACTCAGCCTCTGACAGAATCAAGCACTAAATTTCTTTACTGAGAAATAGCCTAAAGTGAGCCAAACTGTCTTATTACTTGTACCATTTTCATATGCAAGATATGGCTATCTCATTCATTGTCAGTTTGGTTAGTAAGAGTAAATCACCCTTTATTTGTGATGTTCTCACTTTTGAGTGCCATAATGGTTGCTCTTGCCAACTATTAGTTTCTTAATATACTATTATGTGAGATATGGGTTGTTACTGATTTATCTGTCAAGTTAATTTTGGCTCCCTCTACTGTAGTATCTGAATGATGCCACAACAGCACAGTCAGGTGTGGTTTTACATAGCACTCATAGAATTGCATTTCTCGATAATATACATTTCAGTTTCCCTTTTTGTAGTTGCAGAAAGTAGACCATGATCTTGAAATGGTTCTGTCTACAGTTCAGTCAAAGACTAGAAAGCTGAAGGAAGACATGAAAAGGTATAAAGTGAATTTAGTGTATGAATCCCATATGATTTTGATAGCAAATCAAGTGAGTTTTATTGTTTTAGTAGGCCTGAAAATTTCCAATTATCCATTGTTCCCTCTCACTTTTCCCTACTTTCATGTTCAAAGAGAACAGCAGTGGTTGGATGAGCAGCAACAACTGGTAGATGCTCTTGATGTAACACATGAAGAAATGAAAAATCAGGTGGTACAGTTTTCTGAAAAAAGGTATTTACAGTGCTTTTTCAGCAAAAAAAAAAGGTAAAGGATTAAATATTAGTATGACCAACAGATTTTTAAAAAAGCTAATACTGTTTGATAACTTTGGTAAAGATCAAATAAGCAAGTAATAAAATGCACTTGAAATCTACGTTGCAAATATTTTACAGGATGTACTTGCACTGTGATATTTGGATTATTGATGCCAATATTATAATAGCAACAGAACCTTTTTATTGAATTACATGTCACATCAGTTAAAATTTATTTTTACATTGGTTTTTAGAGCATTTCAGGAATTGAAAAGTAAAATGATGAAAATAAGGGCATATAAAGAAGAGCTCTTGAGTGCTTTGGGGGAGTTTCTAGAAGAACATTTTCCTCTCCCAGAGGAAGATGAAAATGCTAAAAAGAAGAAAAAAGTAAGATTTATTTAAAATTATCACATTTGAAAGGTTTTTATTAAAATTTTCTTGATTTTTATATAGTTTTAAAATCACAGTGCTGGAAAGTTAGAAAACCTATTTAAATCATACATGTAGTGTTAATACAATTATGCAAGGCACCGGTGAGATCTGACCTGGAATACTGTGTGCAGTTCTGGTTTTCCACATTTAATAAATTTGATTTCAAACTGGAATATGTGCAGAGAAATGTTACTAGGATGTTCAGAGGAATGGAAAATCTACCATATGAGAGGAGACCTTGGTTTGTTTAGCCAATCCAAATGAAGGCTGAGGGGAGAGATCATTGCTCTGTATAAATACAACAGAAGGATAAATACCAGGAAGGGAGAAGAGTTATTTAACTTACAGTGTTGACATGAGAGTAGATGTATATAAAGTCACCATCAATAAATTCAGGCTCAAAAGGGATCAATCAGTGAGGCAAAAAAGGCTAACTGGCTTCAGCAAAGAACTTGATAAGTTAAGGAATAGATGGTACAATGAGACTGCTTGCAGTTTGGTATATGGCTGATCTGTGGCTACTAGTAGCAAATATCCTCAATAGCTGGTGAAGGGATAGTGGATGACGAGAGCTCTTAGTTACTATAGAGCAGGGCTGGGAAGATGTGGCCCGAGGGCCGGATCCAGTCCGCCTAACACTTTGATCAGGTCCGTGAGCTACATCTGACTGCTTTCTATTTTTATCCTGCTGCCCATGCAACTGAATTTCTAGGTGGTGGCTCAGGCAATAGGATACTATTTAAATAGCTCACAGTCACAATGCTACCTCAGCAGGGGCCAGAGCTGTGAACCCTTTAAATAGCTGAAGCAATCCTGGCGGCTCCTGGGCAATGCAGTAGCAGTGGGACCAGGATCTGCATGTCCTTATCAGTGTTTTTAAGTCAAAGCCTTGGGCCCCAGACAACTCTGGGGAGAGGCTAGTCCCCAACTCCAGTCCATCTGCCCCAGGCTCCATCCCTGCGATGTGTATAGTCTATAGCATTAACCTATAAGCTTTTGCTTATTGATTAATCAGTTAATCAACTACACTGTTACATCTGTAGTACTGACTTCGGCCAGTGCCTGCTTTTGGAAGGTCCCTTAGAGGTGAATAGGAGAGCATTAAAACAACACCCAGAAGAAGGTGCCATAGACAAATAACTAGATATGCATATGATGACTCTCTGCATGAGAGTGAAGACAATATACATCTAAGGCAGCAGTTCCCAACCTTTTCCAGATGGGGACCCATTTTGACAATTCAGGAAGACTTGGTGACCCAGGGCAATTAAAAAATGGGGGCGGGAGGGCAGAGCCACTTGGGGAGACACTTGGCAACCCTTTTGAAATGTAATGGCAACCCATATTTGGGTCCTGACCCATAGGTTGGGAAACCCTGATCTAAGGCATCTTGCAGTCAACATGGGAGCATTGATCCAGCTCCAACCCTCCCCCACCTAATTAATCTGGCCAGCAATTAGGTGGAAAAACTGTTAGTAAAAACATTCATTCATTCATGCTTAAATTTGACACCTTATGTATGATTTTAAACAAAGACTCTAATTATCTTGCTCATTACAAAGATGGCTTCCCCAATCACCCCTATGTCATTACCTCACAGACACTAACCTTCCCCCCCTCACGTCCCCTCTATTCTAAAATTTGATTTGTCAATTTCACATGCGTTCATTTTTTTTATTGTATCACTTTGATATATATGGTTGTGACGATTTTCTTCCACATATTGATCTGAGGAAGTGGGTCTGGCCCATGAAAGCTCATCACCTAATAAACCATCTTGTTAGTCTTTAAAGAGCTACTTAGTTCTGTCTTTTTTTTTTGGTAAAAACAAGACATGGTAGGTGTGTGCGTGTATGTGCTGTATTACATGCATCTAAGTGTTGACTGCTATATGTGTGTATTACCAAAAAATGTTTCATTTTGCCTTTTCCCCTGAAAAGATCCCATTCAGTACTTTTAAGTACAGCACAGCCATCCCTGCCCCAGAGCCAGCCCCCCCCCCTACCCCCCATCCCCCCGCCACCACCC